GCGGACACACAGCCTACAGCTTAAACGTGTCATCACAGAGCGACGCTGGCTGTGCTGTGGGGATGAGAGCTTTGTTGCTTCCCAGCTTTCTGATGTAATGCAAGGAAGGATTGCGCTGTAGAGCCGAGATGTGCCCAAGCCTGTCTATTTCAGACCTGGCAGCAAATAAAACAAGTGCAGTCATAGGGTTTACAGTCATGAACCACACCCACTTCCAATTAATTTCATTATAATATCTGTTTATCACTGTCTGTTGGAAAAGATGTTTGCCAATTGATTTGCATGGCTGGTCATGCAACTGACTATGCAAACCTTCAGAGAGGGTAAAGTTGTTATGGTAACAGCATTTTTATTTATTGGTGGGTACATGCTCAGGTTTGCTGATGACATTGTATTCCACTAGGAAGTCAGGAACAAAACTACACTGACATCAGGCTGAGTGATGGCTTTGCACCGACACATTATAAAGTTATTACAGTATAAAGCAGCGGTTCAGAGTCTGCAAGCATCAGTTCATTTACAATCTCACTGATTGTGATACTTTTAGCTCTGTAAAACCATTCTCACATTTCCACTTTACACTGCTAGTTAAGAAATATTACCTGCTGGCTGTGCTTCAAGAAAAGGCCAGGGATTGAACAGGATTTGTCTACTAGGGACCATGAATGTAGCATAGCAATCCATCAGGCAGTTGTTGGGATATTTCAGTCTGGACCAAAAGTGGTGTATCTAACTAGACTACCTATCCATAAGGTCCAATATTGAAATGCTCGGCTTTACAGCAGAAATAAACATGTTTACAGGGTGGTGCAAAAAACTGTTTTGGTCTCTATAGCTAAATAGACCCTAGAATAAATATATAAATAGACTAAATTTGTTTACCATTTACATTTGTGAGGCTCTAACAGGCACAGGGTTGGTATGGTATTTTTAGGACTTGATGAAGCACTAAAAGGATTATTGATTGTTCAATCTGGAATTTGATTGCTTAGTCGACTGATAAAAGACAGTTAATAAACTTATTGACTGGCAAACACTATTGTCTTCTACAAAAGATTTAAACTTTTGTATATAATTTGCATTAAAGCTTCTGTTTGTTGAGTGAAAACCTTGAATCTCTGTTTTTGATGACTTTCATGTAATCATTAAACTGAAGTATTACACACTTTCATACACACTCACACTGATCTGACATTTCTGGCTCTAAAATGGTTTGCACTGGACAACAGTGATAAATAAATGGTGATTTTTGCAATTTGGAGTGATTGGATTAATATTTTTCTGGGTGTCTGGTTGCTCATAATCAGGCAGCTTCACAGTAATGAAAGAGCTGTGTAAACACCAACACACACACACACACACACACACAAACACACACACAGCGCTGGGGAATTAGAAAGGTGTTCAGACAGCGATTGCTTCTTCAGCGTAAGAGTCAGAACAAGAGAGCAGATGTTTAATGAATAGCTGATGAGTGCAATCAATGTGAATGAATGAGTAACAACAGCCAATCGCTTAGTAACTGCATATATTGACAACATCACCACATGACAATGACATACAGTCACTGTAAAGCTAAAGCACCCATTGGCGATCGGTAAGAAACTGTCATGTGGCAGTGTGTTTTTTTTTTTCCACAGAAGCAGATGTGAGTATGAGCCATAGAATAAAACCACCACAAAAGCAAATAAATAAATAAATAATAAATACATATATTTAACATCAACACTCGACTTTACCACATTTGATTAGATTTAATTTAGCTTTATAACGAGCATCTGATTTAACAACGATGAACGAGAGAGATACATCCAACTCAATTTATTAAGACTTTTAATGCTACTGTGATGCTAATTATGATGAGCAAACTATATATCCTATGTTGAACTTATAGTAAAACATACTTGTTTTTAGTTGCAGTGGCTTCAAGTGTTAACTAACATTAAGCTATTTATTATTCACATCTGACACAGAGCTAAAGCCTGTATGACACTGGTATAAAATCTATAACACATAATATAAACTTTTTTGAGAAGGGCCCTTTTAATGTAGCAGTATATTTTCCGGTGCTCTCTGGTGAACAAAGTCTGCAAAGGAGACTCACCTCTTTATCATCATTATGCTTTATTTTTGTGAGGTTTACCGGTACGAGAATTCAAAGTCAGATTCAGCCAACTTAAACCGCACAAAATCGCTCATTTAAACCTGAAAAATTGCACCTGTTCATGAGAATCTCTGAAGAGATCTCATCATTAGCCTAATGGATACACCAAATCGTGACATAAGGCCACCTGTTGGGCAAGTTTCAGTCACCTAAAGAGTAAAAGAAGAAGAGCTTCAGTGTGCAAGATTTAAAGTCCTGCTGCCAGAAATCAGCAGAAGAATAAAGAGCAAGTATAGCAGTGTCAGCAGTGGTACAAAGGGACCCAAAAAAAGAAAATAATGCTGTAGCTGTCAACTCTGTCATGGCAGACACTTCCTACCTGTCATACATACAGTTTTTGCATGCGGCTCAACGTCTTTTAATGACCTCAAGCACACTTTATCTGTGTTTAGTTATTTAGTTACTTATCGGCCGACACGTATGCTGATATTAATATATTCAACAAGCTAATATTGACTGATATATTGGCCAGGGAGATTTATTGGTTTAATTTAATGGGGGTCATTTTGGGTGTAGATATAAAAGCGTATTACTTATTATTACTTATTAATTAGTACAATATTACTACTTCTAAGAATTAATTTATTCACCAACATTTGCTGCTGTAATTCCTCATGTTTGACAGATACAGTGCACACAATACCAAATATAATTAAAACTCATTAAAATATAAGACACAATATTTTACTTAACCTTGTATGACAATCTTGAGCAACAAGCACCTACTCTGAATGAAGCCCTTGCTAAATTCTCTTACTGCTCTTGGTGGACGCTGCTCTACACAACGCAGGAAATGAGCTTTCCAGGCCTGCTGTTGACCAGTACAGATGGTGACAACAGCAGTAGACCGAGTGACAGGAGGATTACAGCGTGGACAGATGGCAGTCGTGGCACTGCCAAACAGAAGGCTGCAGGGCCGAAGCCAAAGTGGGAAATACAGCAGGTGATCAGAGCAATATGCTGGAGAAACTGACTGGCTGAAAACACATTCTGACCATTCAGAAGGTTCATTATTCAAGAAGCAATGCAAGACCAGCTGTAGCATTGTGTCGGTATTTCATATCATAAAAGATTTGCCTTTCTACCCTGAATTTGATTAGTGATTGAGCAATAACAATATGTAGCAATAACAAATCTTTTTAGTGTTTTTTCTGTGCTGCATACTTTTACAATAAATGTCAATTTTTCATTTTATCTGCAATTTTCTCTTTCTGCCAGTCAATTATTTCCCAAAATCAACACGCTAATTATAAATCTGTAATTGATCCTCAAATGAATCCTCGTTTGTTTCCTTAGCTTTACAGAATATGATGGTTTTCTGGTTCTCTGGGGGCTCAGCATGTGACACTGTTGTTTCAAATCCAGGCCATGATCTAATGACACAACCTTATTTCCTATCTCGAGGCAGAAAAAAACAGCAAGTTGTACAAGTCCACCGAGAGCCCGACAGGACCAAACACTGTTAAATAGATCACTACAAGATAATTCCAGTGTGCTTCCATCTTTTCTATCTGGGCTTTTGAATGGAGCATTTGGAAACCGCGCACCACCTCCTCGCAACAATGATAATCCTCAACAACGACAACACGTGTAAGAAAATGAAATCCTAAAGAGATTCCCCTTCACACTGTGATTCGGAGGACTATCATTAAGGACCTGGATTCAAGCTCCTGTGCCCTACTGGGGTGAATGCCATTATAATGATTGTTAATATAACAAATAAAGCAGCATAAGGCAACATTACACTTTTGAAAAAGCTGATTTCCTGTTTGCACAGTAGATTAAAGTGGTACTAAAATAAAAGCAGATTTTTGCTAAGAAATCAGTTTACGCATATCCTTAGTGTAGAATTAGTAGAATTGACTTGTACTTATTTGGTCAAAAATAAAATGATTTCTGTATTATCATTTAAATTCCAATAGGGAATTGGAGGATTAGTGGGAACCAATGTTGTTAAGCGTTGCTTTCAACCCATCTGTGATTTGAAAACTTCTTACGTTACTCTGTGACTTCGTACGTATGACATGTCTGGTGAATCCATGTTAACGTTACTAGCTTCTACTTTCTGACTGGAATACAAACTGAACAGCACGATGGGTCAAAATGTTGACTGTTGTTAAGGACAGACGAAAAAAATTCCTGCACGTCTATTTCATAGGACAGGTTGCAAAGCTAAAGTCTTTGTCTAACTTGTAATATAACATTTATTCCCGCCGTTTCGGTACTAGACCTTCATCAGGCACATAGTTTGTGACAATGAGAAGCCATCTTGGTTGCAAATAAATGTTATATTGAAGGGTAGACAGTGTGCGGTAGTTTATCTTTGCAACTCTTTCAATGTTGTTAGGGGACGGACAGTTTAATTCACCAGCTGCTGATAGCTAACACTAAGTCAGCTTTTGGAAAAACGATAAAACATATTGAATCAATGTTCGTAGGCGATACAGTATGATGTTCTGAGGTCAGTAGCACACCATGGAAGCCAGAACGTCACCTAGCATCACCAGCACTCAGATTTCAGTTGGTTGCCATAATAAGCATCAAGCTACTGGACATCCTCTCTGCATGTGGCTGTATAATTATAGTTTACACAAAAAGTACAGAGAATTAAAATTTTAATGTGACTTAAAAGTTAGATAACGGTAAAACCAACCAATGACTTACCAGCAGCATACATGACTGCAAGCATGATTGAGGAGATCCATGCAATCTGGCTGTAGGAGACATCGAAGATGACCTGGATGTCTTTGAAGTAGACCGTGATGGCCTTGGGGAATGCGTACGAGAAGCCTATGGAGATGAAAGATGCTAACACTACAGCCCACCCCCAACCGCCGTCTGGTGGGGGCACGGCAGGGGGACTTGTGGCTGGGGGCGGCATCACTGGCCCACCTCAACGCTGATTATTCACTGCAAAGACAGAAGAGAAAGGGAGAGAGGGAATTAAAATCCAGCAGTTACCGCCATCATTCTGTGTTTGTGTTTTTACTTCATTTTGTCCTCTGATTGATTATTGATTAGTCAGATCTAGGCAGGCTCTCCTTTCTAAACTCAAAGGATTTTAAGGTTAGAAACAGATTAACCTGAACCTGAGCAGTTGTTTACAGGAAAATGTCACAGATCATTACAGACAATATATAGACAATTAGATCACCAGCTGCGGCTCATATTGACAGTATACAGACGGCTGTGGGATTATCAAAAGCTTTGTCCTCTCTGTCGTTTACATGAACAACTGCCAGCAGTAATGTGACACATGAGGAACAAGGACATACCAGAGCTCCGTATCCTGGAGAAGACGTGTGCAAACACACACTTACCCAGTATTAATGGTCCATTGCACTGGTCATGCACTCACTAGACCTGAGAGACCAGACCTGCGCCGCCCAGATGATAGTCACCCCCCCCCCCCC